TTTTGCTTTTATCGGCCGAGCATTTTTTCATTCGTCGACAACTGGGAGAGGACGCTCAGTTTTTGCATATCAAAATACTTTTATAGCGACTGACTTGTTTCTAAAATATTCCGTCTTCAGCATGTCATGCGGAATACGTGCCTTTTTTTTTTTTTTTTTTGTAAGTAATTTTCTTTTTCGCCACATTTTCCGTCGTAGGTTACACGCGACACGCTGTCACTTGGTTTGACGAGGTAGGTCGCCGTTTTCTTCGCTATCACCCATTATCATTCCCAGTTCAGAATCCGGTAATTGATACCGCATTGTCATGTGTGGAGTAAACTGATATAGGCCTGAGCATTTCCATGGCGTCAGTGTATAGTGGCGCTACCAACCATTACCTTTACCTACTGCGACTTCATGATGTTTATAAGCTTATGGCTATATCATGTTGAAACAATTGTTCTCGTCCAATCACCGAAGTAACGTTGATCCCAGTCAGTACCCACATTGGTGACCGCTCGAGAATACCAAGCACTGTAAGCTTGGATGTAAAGGTGGTGTGACGGAATGTGAAATCGGAGAGCTGAGTTCAAATTCCAGTCGGGGTCGTTATATTCACTTACGTGCAAATACCCTTGGGAATGGTATAAAGTCACTTCTCCTCTCAGCTATTAGTTAAATAGTAAGACTTGTATCAGAAAATCATTATTATCTCCCTAAACTCCTTACAATCCAAAGATGTGTTTTGGCTTTAAATAACCTTAAAAAAGATTGATAAGCAGTAAAAAAATAGATGCATCATAACTTTATAATTCAGACGATAGAGTAATATTGACAGACTATATAGAAAACAATAAGTGCATAGCATGAAAAGAAAGTTTATTTTCCGAAAGTTAGACTTTACAGAAAAAAAATTAACAATTATTTGTTAGTTAAAAAATGTAGAAAAATCAAAATGAAAAAAAATCTGTAGCAATATCACAATTTTAAATTGCCAAAATAAAATAAGAATTCCAAATTGTATGAACATAAATTCCATGACAATGAAAACCTTTCTATTTTAAATTAGTGAATACCATTTCTCAAATATGAATGGCATAATCATTTATGATAGTGCCGTCTTGGGTAACTGAGTAGGACTAAGAGATTAGAGAAAAGGCTAAAATAAAGAGAGAAAAAGCTAAAATAAAGAGAGAGAGAGAACTGGCTAAACTAAAGAGAGAGAGAAAAGGCTAAACTAAAGAGAGAGAGAAAAGGCTAAAATAGAGAGAGAGAGAGAACTGGCTAAAATAAAGAGAGAGAGAGAAAAGGCTAAAATAAAGAGAGAGAGAAAAGGCTAAAATAGAGAGAGAGAGAGAAAAGGCTAAAATAGAGAGAGAGAGAGAGAGAGAGAAAAGGCTAAAATAAAGAAAGAGAGAAAAGGCTAAAACAGAGAGAGAGAGAGAGAGAGAAAAGGCTAAAATAAAGGGAGAGAGAAAAGGCTACAATAGAGGGAGAGAGAAAATAAAGGGAGAGAGAAAAGGCTAAAATAAAGTGAGAGAGAAAAGGCTAGAATAAAGAGAGAGAAAAATATGCAGCAAACTTATAAAAGAGAGAAAAGAATATTAACGGCTCCACAAAGAAAAAGGGCATAAAATAGAAATCAGTACTTTAAGTAAATCATTTCACAGAGATGATAGGGCACAAAGCCAGTGTTTAATCATAAAGGATCGACACACATTTGTGTGTGAGCTACGTGAAAAAAATGTACACTTTAAGTGGTATATCAATGTAATACTCATGAACCGACTGTGTTTTTTATATATTATACTTCATCTGATACAAGGCCCAAGAGCTACTTAAGGTAGAAGCTGTTGGCAGTAAGAGGTGAATATTATGAGCATATGTAGGATAGATATAGAGTCTGTTCCGAAATATAACAGTTCTGAGAAAGAAGTTGGTTGTGGGACTTCATCCTTATCTATGGTATAGGAAAGGAATGTGAATGATTTGACTTAGTGTACATCGTATGGCTGGTCCTAGCTGTAAAGATCTGAACTGATGGAACTAAGGAATGTGCCTAACCTGAGCGTTTGCCATGGAAATAGCGATAGAATAACGAAAGGCTAGCAGCCTTAAGTTAATAAATTTCAGGCTCCGAATTTATTAGACCATAAGTCACTCTTTTGATAAAATAGAATTAAAGGATTTTTCTCTTTTAAATCATGGTGTTTTATACTACAGGCCTGCTCATAGTGCAAATAAAGACAGTTTATATCTACAAACGCTTTATCTTTTATATTCAGACCTTTTTCCTCTATAAATAATAAATATAATAAATTGCTGTATATATATATATATATATATATATAATTGTGTATTTGGACAGCAAAGCCTCTTTTATGAAAGTTTCATTAAAAAACACTGAATTTTCTATTACATTTTTCATGTGTCCTTATATATTTTTTTCTTTTCTGGACGTAAATTATTTAAAATTTTCCAAATGTTTTGCATGTCCGAGCATTTTGTGTGAAAGTATTATTAATAAAAAAAAAATGCCAACACTCATCAATATTAACTATGAACACGGCCACAATATACTGACCGTGTTTGGAAAATAAAACATTCCTATAACTTTAGATACATACAAAAAAAATAATCCATACATTCAGTTAAAATAAAAATAAAATTCATCCTTGATAATGGCGAAATGTATTGCCGAAAGCGCTTGGACATAAAGGAAATTTGGACAATTTCTTTATAATTAATGTCCAGAAAAGAAGAAAAGTATAAAAACACAAGATAAATTAAATAGAAAACTTAACCACAGTGCCTTGTCAGTCGTTTTTAATAAAACTTTATATACATTGGAGGCATGGTGGAGTAATGGATAGCGGCTTGGATTGAGGAATCGGAGAGCCGGGTTCCAATTCCTAGTCGAATCCATTACATTCACTTACCCTTAGGAAAGGTATGAATCATCTTCTTCTCTCTCCAGTTATGGGTAAATAGCAGGACAGACTGGGTTCTATAGCCTTGGATGGCAGCTGGTCTCGGAGAGGGAAAACTCTGAATTCAAAACCTGCGGAGGGTCGTTTGGGTACCAGATCTCTGTATTCGGCCCTTCAAAAAATGTGGATGGCTCTGCACAAAACCTTCACCACTATAATCAAATTTCATGTGCTGGTGTCTGGCTGACGGTTCCTAGGAACTGAGCTGCTTGACCCTTATATGTCGAATATTACGGGATAATCGAATATATATATATATATATATAGTGTACGGCAGAAATACCTCCCACATAATGGTAAGACATTCGTAGCAATGGTCTCTTTATCTATCATTATGTGGGAGGTATTTTTTGTGTGTTCGTGTTAGAAATTATTAATTTTAAATAGTTTTCCGTTATTTTCATTGTTTCATTCTCTTTAGTAACAACATTATGTAACCATTAACTGGAGATATTATATAGACAGGACGTCAATAAAATAATTACTACACTTGAAACCAAAACATAGAAGAAAAAAAATGTGATACAGTGTAACCCGGATATAAGAGAAACCCGGATATAAGAGAGATTTTCTCTGGTCCCAAATTAGAGCCTGTGTTAATGTATATAAAATAGACCAAACCTGGATATAAGAGAGATTTTCTCTGGTCCCAAATTAGAGTCTGTGTTAATGTATATAAAATAGACCAAACCCGGATATAAGAGAAACCCGGATATAAGAGAAACCCGGATATAAGAGAAACCCGGATATAAGAGAGATTTTCTCTGGTCCCAAATTAGAGCCTGTGTTAATGTATATAAAATAGACCAAACCCGGATATAAGAGAAACCCGGATATAAGAGACTTCTTCTCCGGTCCCGACAACTCTCTTATATCTGGGTTACACTATATAAAAATCTCTTTGTTTATGAAAAGTAAAATGCCATTAAAATTTTTTTTTTAATTTTATAAACCATTTCTCATTCTATTGTGAGAAAATAAAGTTGGCAATCCAAATTCTTGGTTGTGCTTCAAACAGATGTTTCGTATTGTGTAATGAATTCACCCTTAACATGAAACCTCAAAAAAGTTTTCAATTTACACGAAATAGTTTTTTTTTAATAACATGATATAAACTTTGATAACTCAGAATTACAGGACTTTTTTCTCTCTTAACCCTGTCTTAGTCACCTCAGATTTCCGAAAATGGATAGTGCCCTAGTGTCTACTTCCCACGACAAATGAGCTACAGCTACGCCACACCGAGTGCTACAAATCCTCACTCAGTCAGGAGAGTAGGGTGGGAGAGCAAAAGAAACAAGTTCCCAATTAGGAATTACGAGTACTTTTTAAAAAAAATTCGGTTAACAAAACACCCTATGTGAGTAACACAGGGTTAAACTAAATGATTTACACCCTGGAGAAATCCGATGAAAAAATATTATCTTATTAATCCGTTTATGTGCATAGCTTTCAAGGAAAAGTTTTATATCAAAATTTAAAGCATGTATTTTTTTCATTTTTTTTTCACAGTATGGATTATAAAATTAATGTAATCATAGAAAAATTTAAATTTTTAAAGATATTTGGTTATTAGTTTCGACTCTTTCTTGTTTATATGAAAGCAACTATCAAATAAATAAATAAAGATGGTATCCAAGACAATTCAGCATTCACCGGTTTTAAGTTTGGAGTATCCACCTCGTTTACGAATGCTGTTTTTCTTCAAATGTTTCCAGCAAACGACCATCATTACTAACATCCCAATCATGAGTATCACCATCATAGCACTTAGGCTAGCCATAATATGGGTATTTTCCGAAAGATTTTCCTGTGGGAACAAAAAAACAAAAAGAAAAGTTATCTCTGAAAATCGGGATAATATAAAGCAAATCCTGAAAGAATATGTTCATATAAATGTATTCATAATTTCGTCAGACTCGGGACATGGATGATCATGGCCCTCTACAACTTCCTATTTTTCGTAGCCCTAAAAAATGTCTGTCTCTTTCCCTGCCATCTATTTACAAGGCTAATATAGTGTTGAAATCCAGTTCCTGTACGATCACCAAAGTTAAACAACGTCGAGCCTGGTCAGTACCTAGATGGGCGACCGCTTCGGAATAAAGGTGCTGTAAGCTTGAATGTGCTGGTGGTGTAATGGACAACGACTCGAAATTGTTAATCGGAGAGCCGAGTTTCAGTTCCAGTTGGGTTCGTTATATTCACTTACACGCAAATACCCTTGGGAAAGGTATGAATCCACCTCTTCTCCCCAAGCTATGGGTTAATTAGAAAGACTTGCATCACTAAACAATTATTATCTAAAGAAATTCTTCAAAATAAAAATATTTCCTGGCTTTAAATAACCTGCAAAAGATTGATAAGCCGTAAAAAACGAATCAATCAATTAATCAATCAATAACTTCTTTGCCAAAGAACTTCTGCTACTGATCGCTAGACGGCGTTGCCAAAAGCAGCATATTAGAAAAGGCATAAAAATCTTTCTTTTTTTCTCTCACTTTCTCTTTTAGCCAGAGTATGCCTTATAGATTAGGCGTTTCTTGTTTCCTCTCTAGAGACCCTTAGGTCTCCAATGAACTACATGCCGTATTGAACACAATACTACCCAGCATTCAAGTACTCTCAGCTTACTTATATCAAAATCTACCTCTCTCATTTTTCATATGGACTTTATATGCACGTATGTACTGAAAAATGGATTTTCAGGTAGTGTAATGTTCAGCGCCTTGGAATAAGAAATCAGAGAGTTGAGTTTAAATTCCAGTTGAATTCATTACGTTAACGTAGGTGCAAATAACCTAGCGAAAGGCATGAAGCCATCTCTTCTTCTCCCAGTTACGGAGTAAATAGCAGAACAGACTGGGCCCTATAGTCTTGGGTAGCAACCAATCTAGGAGAACGAAAATTCTGAATTCAAAACAGACTGGAGAAATTTGGATTCCGCCAGGCTATCTAGCCCAAGACATATCACTGTTGCTATGGCTGTAGTACATGTAGTGTCCCAACGATCCTAATGGGTTACGGTGCTTGTTCTCGTAGATAGGGAGATGGTGTTTTTTACGCAAGTCGGTGAGTTTCTGTGGTGTCACCATTTAATTATTATGATGTTCTGAAATCGTACGGGGATCGGTGTTTCAACTTGAAATGGTTGTGGCGTGGGCAATATCACCCCGAAATATTAATGATAATAAAGGCGAATATGCTGGAAAACAGAAAAAAGGCGTTTTCAAAAGAACTCAAATGTTAAAAATGCTGTAAAGACTTTGAAATGTAAATGTTACAGAAAATTAATTTAGAACACGAAATACAATCTTTTTGAAAATAGAAAATTACTGCGACAACGATAATTTGAACTTTTAGAAAAAGAAATGGATTTTGACACTTTAAGAATCGAAGTTAAAATAAAACATGTTTTGATTTAGAATTTATTTTTGAAACCGAACTCTCTGTAGTTTACAAAGAGTGGCAGAGTGATTGCTAGCGAGGTGATAACATAGAGTCTTGTTGTGGACATTGGAACTCAATAGGTGAAAAAGTAAACTGTTTACTCGGAGAAGTGAAATTATACTTTAGAAGTATGTCAGTATGCTCGCACTAGAAAAACAGATACGTCATCAGTTCTCTATATAAAGAGGCAAGCCAACCGGAACAGAGGAGAGTTTTGACTCGTCTGTCTTCGAGTGCAGTCGAGCTGGGTGGAGAGATGACGGAGATTGAAAGAGGAGAGTTCGGGTTCGACTGTCTTCGTATGCAATCGAACAGAGCAGAGTTGGGTTAAAGAGAGTCGGAGAGTTGAGTTGGAGACTCGAAGAAGAGAGGAAGTGACGTCAGAGATTGTAACAAAACGCCCGCTAACATGTGCTGTTGATATAAGTACGAAGAAGTGAATTACTTCATCCAACAGCTAAGACTACTACTGTTACTATTACTACTACCACTGAGAATGGAAACGTTGAACACGCTACAGTAATCGAAAAGGATTAAAACGAAGCCACCTCACTCCTTTAAAAAAATTACACGAAGTATTTTTTTGTTTTGTTGATCATCGGTCATATACAAGAGACATTCAACTTTTTGCCACGAGAATTGTGTTATTATATGTATTGTTGATATATATATATATGAAAATTTCTCGGACATTCAGGCCAGTAAATGTTATTTAATACTGTTTATTATAAAGAGAGCATTTACTTAAATACTTGTATCTATAAAAAGAACGTTAAACATAAAATGTCTTTAATAAAATAAATTGTCGGACTTTGTCCATTTCTTAATATATATATATATATATATATATATATATATATATATATATATATATATATTTTTTGTCCTTCTAAAATAGGTCGACTTGGCCATATTTATTTGCTGTTAACCCGATTCTCACCCAACAAGCTGACAGGTCGACCAACGAAGAGCTTTCAGATTTCCACGACCCGATAATTACTCGCCAGGATCAAAAATCACAACGTGGCTGGTGAATGGAATCGAATTGACATTTGAAACCGGAACCTTAGGTCTAACCTGTAATACTGGACCACACAGAACCAACGACCGATCTTGTGGATGACGTTGGCCCAGTGGGGTTAGGATACGGTGTCACATGGATGCCTTGACCAGAGTTCGCGTTACAATTGAAACCGTGCGAGAGGATCGGCGTTACATGGTTGTAACAATAGGATCTCAGACACATCTTTAGATGATAAGTAGATAAATTTCTTTTAAGATCGCTTAGTTATCTGGGTTTCATATGAATATCGTCTCTAATCCATCTTTGAATAAACTTAAGTGTCAGTGTTTGGAGGATTTATGTCTACAGCTGCCTTTAAATGGGAAAGCATAAAATTTTGTTAATGATTTCAGATAATCATAAAAGTAGTCCTTTGAAGAAGCTTTTTGGATGGTCTCTAGTTCCGGAACACAAAGGAACGAATAGGGATGGTGGGACCCAGCCATTATGCATATAAGCAGAGAGAGGCAGGGAGTCCGGGAGAAAAGGGGTCTAGCAGTCAGTGAGAGAATAGGTAGGCGACCAGTGAGTGAGTAGCTGCCCAGTGGCCAGGGAAGAAGAGACCAGCGAAAGTTAGGTAGATAGCAGTTCAGCCGAAGTGAACAGACGACTAAGAAGTGAATATTCGTATTGCTGCTATTTCCCAACCAGAGAGTCTTGAAAAACATTTCTCGTTATTCTTTGTAAATTCAATTATGACCATGTGGACAAATCTGTGACATATTGAGTCGAATGTATATGCAGACACAGCCGACCTTGGATGCTATCACGTGATGCCGTGAACGGCGGACGAGCGAAGGACGTCATCACAAATTTCATCACATGACTGTTCGGTCCGATATTAGATTTAAACATTAATTGTGTTCTAATACAGTTTATAATAGTTACACAAAAATATATTACTTATTCCTAATGATTAACGTGTCCTCTTTGTTAATTTTATATCCATCGTTTTCAGAATTCAATTTCAAGCATTATACATTTCTCATCTTGAACATGAAAAAAGATGAGATGAGTTTAATCTTATCTAAGCTAGTTACATATAAATTAGCGGTAATAAAAATAAAACTTCCTAATGAGATCGCGCGTGGACTCATTCTTCACCCAATGTACTCCTTCGCGAAATTAATCACATAAAACAAACCCTAGTTAAAATGGCATTAAGTTGTTCGGAAAATAATGTTCGATTTTAGAATCAACTTTTATTCCTCAATTAATGCATTTAAACAGTGTTTAAATAAGTCAAAATAGGAACTCTGAGCATCTATACATTTCTGCCATTATATTACAACGTAAGCATTTATTCATTTACGTTAAAACTCTAAAAATTTACATGCCAAGAAATCTTTGAATGCAGTTTTTACATCTCCTTTACAACGGAATGCCTTTTGGCTAAAAATTCTCACGATGCATAAAAAAGTGATAATGAGTGGGAAAGAGATCAGAGGCCGTCCTGGATAAGACGATAAACTACATTCGCGTCCTGGGTAAGACGATAAACTGTATCCTCGTCCTGGGTAAGACGATAAACTACGTCCAACAGCAAGGCCTCTGATCAGGAGGTTTTGAGGAGCGTGGAACAATCTCTTAATTGCTGGTGTTCCCAAGTGCACCCTGACCCGGGGTGGTAGCACCTGTTAGGATCCAAGCTATGGGCAGATAGTTGACCCCACAACCTGACTCAAAACACTATGAAAGTGTAAAAATAGATTTTAATACCAGAAATACTTAAAAAAATAGCATTAGCAATAAATATTTGAAAAAATATTACCAGAAATAAAAATCTTGTCAGCATTAAATAAGCCATTGAGGTTAATATGACACAAAACAAAACAAACCAAAAACAAGAGATCAGGGAAATATGGTTGATGTAGCAAAGTCTCGTAATTCAAGTTCATGAGCTTCTGCAGTGTCATCCTGGCAACATATGGGTAGACATTGTCATGAAGAAGAATTGGACCTTGTTGATTAATCAGTGCCGGTTGCATTTTGCTTAACTGAATGTACATTTCATCCAATTGTTTTTTAATCATTTCCCCCAAGCAAGACGGGAGTGCTGCTAATGCGGAGGAGGTTTCAGAGAGTGAAAGTGAGAGAAAATACTGCGTATAGCGGGGATTGAAAAAAGATGAACTAGTAATATTTTTTTGCAACTATTATTAATTTATTAGAAGACCATTAAAAGGTTTGTTCTAAAATCGGACATTATTTTGAGAATAAAATAACCCCGATTTTCTAGAGGATACTGGGAGTGCGTCACATATTTGAGAACAACACCCCGAAAGAACCTAATATAAAGATTACACTTTAATCAGAAGGAATGAATAATTTTTGTACAACTATTATAATAATATATTAGAACCCAAAACGTTTATTCTACAAACAGACATATTTTCCGAATAACCTAAAACTATTTTCCAGTGCATAAACAGGGTGCATCATGTATTTGAGAACAACATCCTGAAAGAGATTGAATTAACATAGTGCCACTTGAATCATTAGGAATAAGTAATGTATTTTTGTGCAACTATTATAATAATGTATTAGAACACAAAAGGTTTATTTTAAAATAGGACATTATTTTTAGAACAATTTAATAATGATA